TGTATATGTGAAAGGTTTTCTCACATAGATGATTCTAGGTTGAAAGGCTTGCTCACCTAAAATGATTCGAAGCATGTATGAACTATGATAGCTTGAAGTAGTGATATGATATCCCTTCATGAATAACTTGACTTGGTAAGACAAGACCATGCATGGTAGGTTGAGTAGTAGATCTTATGGATAGCCTTGGATTGAGAAATCATACCCTTTCAAAGGTTAGCTTGGACTAGCATAATAGACTTCCGCTTCGTTATGTTGTTGTTAAAGACTTCCGCTTCGTTTTATAAAACTTTGATGTTATTGAAAATGTTTTAAATTTCCGTACCATTTTCTGTTACTTTATGTTATGATATGCTAAGGGGCTTGTATGAGGCCTCTCGGGGTCTCGTACGCCTTGTTACATCTAGGGGGTACCCCTGGGTCGTGACACAACTAACTATCAAACTTTGAAAGGACCCTTAGAATTTGTTTGTAACCCTGTACACACAAACCACATATGCAAATCAATTGTACTCGACGTTCTAGACTCAATGGAATTGTCAAAACATGAATTCGAGGTCTCTTTCACCCGACATCCGTGAAAATCACAAGAAATTAATTCACGCCTGAAATGGGTAAAACAAGCTCGGGATCTCTCAAAAATCAACCAAGACCTCACCTAGGCCTAAAATCATCCCCCGGATCGAATGAAACTCTCGGAATTCCGATTCGAGTATCCGGACCCCGAATGTTGACCAAAGTCAATCCAAAGACTAAATTTCCACAATTTCACAACTTAGAACCTCAAATCCTCAAAAAGACTCAGAAATTGAAATGGACAACTCTCACAGCCTGGTTCCACATTCCGAGACTGATGGAATTCCATTCCGACATTCGAAACTCCAAATGACCCCAAAATTCACTTTCTTAACAACTTAGCCTTTAAAACTCACAAACTTACCAATTCTCAACTTTTAACTCAACGTTCAAAATTAACTTTTCAAACTCAATCACAAAAGGCTCGGGGTCGACATCGGGAGGGGCAAAATGATAAATTCATGAAACTTTCCAAAAATGACCAACCGGATCATTACAGAAGGCGCATGACGGCTTGACCCTTGTAAGGCTCATTTTGTCATGAGCCTTGTAAGACTCGTTCTGTCATGAGCCTTATCCTATAACTTTGACGTTGTTAACGGTGTAACACCAATATTGCCCCTTTGGTTTCATCCCTAAATTGTTTGCCCTTTTAAAATTTTTGATCAATTTTATTTCCCTTTTTGGCTCCGAACTCTCTCCCCAACTACAGTAATAGTTGGAACTGAGAGTTGCCTGAGGCCCATGTTTATATAAAAGAGTTCTGAAATTAAGAAAAAACTATGAAAACATATACATGCAGATATTAGAAATAATCCCAGTTTTAAAATAAATATTTTTAAACTATGCAAAATAATTTATTTTAGCTAAAAGTACTAACTATCTTCTTTTTCTAACGGCTATAAAGTGGTTAGAAATTGCATCCAATCATCTCCTTTTTTCTAACGAATACTAAACACATTTCGTTAAATTTTACTAGTCTTGCTGTTGATATTTCAAAGAGAAATTAGGTATGGAAAATAATTATTCTCCATATACATATCGAATAATCAATCTAATGCATGCACATGTCTTTTGTATTAATAGTACATAAAAATTCAAAGAGAAATTAGGTATATCAAATAATTATTCTCCATATACATATCAAATAATTATTCCTTTCTTCTATTAAAATAAATGACTGATCATACAATTTATTCATATCAAATAATCAAGCAATTCAAAGTTTGGAAAAAGTTGTCATCCTCAAGTCAATGCTCAAATCTTATGGGAAACTTCAAGTTTGGCACATAATTGTTTTTCTAGTCCAAAACATAAAAGAAAACAAGCAAGACACAAAATTTTCATGTCGTTTGATAGAGTGTATTAGAAAAAACAATGCATGTATTAGTTTTGTTTATTATTAGTAATTTAGTATCTTGTTTGGTAAGCATTTGGTATATACTCTGGGATCATTTGATAGGATGTATAATTAAAATAATGTTGAATAAAGTGTATTAGTAATGCATGTATTCATAATGCTTGTATTAAGTAATACTTACATTAATATACTGAGATTATTTCTTATGTAGGTTTGATTTGATGTATTAATAATTAATAAAACGCATTGCATACCTTCAATAAAAAAAATATTTGCTTACAAGTTACAATAATACCCTCCACACTCTTTAGCTTTGGAAAATGGAAAATGTTTTGATAGGAATTTGAAGGGTTATTATGTTGTTAATCAATCTAATGCCGTGTGTTAACCTTTTGTATTAATAGTACATAAAAATTCATGGTATTAATAATACACACCTATAACTGATACAAATTCTCATACTTGAATCAAGAAATGCATACATTTCATCCAATACACACAACATTTATGAATAATTAATATCTTACATAAACTTCATATATCATCAAAGTTCATAACATTCCATTTCTCATGAGCATTCCACCAAATGTTCCTCCAAGCATCTGCATGTTCAAATTTGTTTATTTATTATCTGATTTTTATTTTTACTCAAAGAGAAAGTTAAGTCTTACTATTGCTTCTACTAATTAATTTTGGAAAGAGAAATATGCTTTGGTAGAGCATTCAATTAGTTGTTGAGATAACTAAAGATCAAACAAGAACTTACCTTTGACTTTGCTTCTTCCTTATCTGTCTCATAATAATTTTTTGTTCCAACTTCTCAAAAAATTTGCAAGCCATTTTAGATTTCCAGTTGAGATCATGATATATATAATGGATACTCCAATACATAGCCCACTTCCATATCCCATAAAAGCAGCTTTCCAAAAATCATTTAGAAATTCATAATTGTTTTCTTCATCATCTGACTCATAATCGCTATTATTTGTCTCTGGTGTCCAATTACTTCCACAACCTTTCGAAACTGGGAATCCTCTTAATCCATCATTACCTTCATATGAATTATTTTGAAATGTAGCAAATTGATGTCCTTGAGGAATGCATCCTTGGAGATGATTGTGAGAGAGATTTAAGAATGAAAGAAATGTAAGACCAACAAGTTGTTGTGGTATCTCTCCCGAAAGCTGGTTGAATGAAAGATCCAATGATTCGACTAAAGATAAACTTTCAAGTGATGATGGTATATTACCTTGCAATCTGTTATGAGACAAATTTAGCACCCGAAGTGCAATGAGATCTCCCAAACTACTTGGAATATTTCCTTCAAATTTGTTACTTGAAAGATCAATAGTTATGAAAATTGTCGAAATTCTATCCAGATCATACTCCATTCCCTTCGTTGAAACTGTTACAGAATCATTGTAATCTCTCTCTCCAGATTTACCAAGATATGTTGGTACCTTCGTTGTTTTATCAATTGTCCTCATGGCTTTCAATTTTTGAAATAGACTAGTCGACAAGTTTCCTGTGAAACCATTGTAAGAGAGATCTATGATTCGAAGCTCAGAAAACATGTTTTCATTACTTAAAGCTCTAATTGTCCCATGTAATTTGTTCGACCTCAAGCTTAAAACTTTCAAATTTGACAAATTTTCAAACCATATTGGGAATGTGTCGCTAAAGTGATTGTCTCCTAAATCAAGAATTTCCAAGTTTTTGCAATTGGCTAAAGATCGGGGGATTTTTCCTTCTAATTCATTGTCATGCAAGTCTAAGCTTCTGAGTACACTTCCATTGCTAAAAGTTTCTGGAAGAGTCCCATAAAGATTGTTTTGGTGGATATCCAAAACCTCAAGATGACCACCCATGTTGCCAAAACATTGTGGAATTTCTCCCTTCAAATTGTTTCTACCCAAATCTAAAATCCTTAGTGACGTTAGATTGCAAATAGACGAAGGGATATCTTCACCGAGATTATTATCTTCTATTTTCAATACCTCGAGTCCACTAATATTGACTAGACATTGCGGAATTTCTCCCCTCAAGTTGTTTCTCCCCAAATACACCACTTCCAATTTCATCAAATTGCAGAAAGATGAAGGAATTTTCTTAGTGAGATTGTTGTTGTGGAGATACATCCATTGCAAGTTTCTCAATTTGCCCAAGGAATCCGGAATTGAACCAATGAGTTGATTAATATTTAAATACATAGTAACAAGTCTTCCTATATTCCCCAACTCACTTGGAATCGAACCAGAAAGGTTGTTAGCAAAGAGAGACAAAAGATACAACTCATTCAAATTCCCCAAAGAAGTAGGAATAGAACCACTAAGAAAATTAGTAGAGAAATCTAAATAACTAAGAGTCCTTAGGTAACCTATTTCTTCAGGAATGGAGCCAGAAAGGTTATTCTGATAAAGGTACAGAACAGAAAGGCTGGTCAAATTTCCCAATGAAGCAGGAATAACACCACTTAGAGAATTCTTAGCCAAAACTAGTTGACTAAGAGACCTTAAACAACCTATTTCTTCAGGAATGGAGCCAGAAAGGTTATTCTCCTGAAGATACAGAATAGAAAGGCTGGTCAAGTTTCCCAATAAAGCAGGAATAAACCCTGAAAGATGATTCCCATTAAGAAACAAACTAGATAAGTTGGTCAAATTTCCCAATGAAGTAGGAATAGAACCATTAAGAGAATTAGTACCCAAATCTAGAGAAGTAAGAGACCTTAAATAACCTATTTCTATAGGAATCGAGCCAGAAAGATTATTCTGATAAAGAGACAAAATAGACAAGTTGGTTAAATTACTCAATGAGGCAGGAATGGAACCATTTAAAAGGTTGCCATAGATGTTAATATTCTGGAGCTTTGCTAGTGAGCCGATTTGTAATGGGATTGTGCCTGAAATCATATTGGTGTGCAAGTCAAGATAGACAAGATTAGTGAGATTACTAATTTCAGGTGGGATAGTTCCAGAGAGATTATTCACACTAAGATCAACATATTCAAGAAAAGGGAGAGTCGAAAATGGAAAATCATAGAGTGTACTGATGACACGAGCACCTTGAATATCCAACTTGCTTACCCTACCATTTAAGCACGTAACTCCATACCAATCCCCACACGCATTAGAACTCTGTGTCCATGAAGCCAATAAGGAATTAGTCTGGTTCTTGAAAGTTACTTTCCATTTTAGGAGGGCAATTGCTTCCTCCATGGAAGCGAAAGTAACCGTAAAGAGATATAAGATAATGAGAAATTCAACTATTTTGGGAATCATCATCAAATATATTGATATGCAATTTTCTTGGATTATTTTCCTTTTGATGAACTTGTGTAGTGTACACAATTATTTATATTGTAGAGAACTTTTTTTAAGGTATTGCTAGTCAATGACAAGTCAGTATTATTATAATAATAATAATTTTAATAAAATTATATATCCTATTGGACAATAGTTTCTTTTAGTCAAGCATAAGAAGCCAAATGAATAGAGAAATATTATTCTTAATTTAGACCAGCGTCATATATACGACAGATACTTGTGATTTTTATTTTAATCTTTTCTAATAGATATGATTGTTATAACAACAAATACTCCGTTTTCATCAACCAACAAAGAGTTGGATTTAGTCAAGCATAAGAAGTCAAATAAGTAGGTAGGAAAACATTATACTTCTTCTGTTCCTTTTTAGTTATCAGGGTGCCCTTTTCGAGAGTGAATTTGATTAATTTTCAAAATTAAATTAAATTACATTTAAAATAAAATTTTAGATATTTAAAAGCTATACGAAAAATATTATAAATTGTAACTTTTTTCATACCTATAAGATGAAAAAATACATCTTAAAATATTTATCAAAATTTATATCATTTGACTTTCAAAAAGAAAATTATGACAATTAAAAAGAAATGGAGAAAGTAACTTGCAAACGGGTCTAGTCATTGGTCTCCTTTTGTATTTAATTTATTTTGTCTAAAGATATAAAATGTATTTTGTTGGTATTGAGAGATTTGTTTCTGTAGCCCTTCACAATTATTTTTTTAATTTTTAGATTTATTTTTTCTGAAAGATGTTTATTTTTATATATAAAAGATCATTTCTCAACTCAATGCACAAGTGTTGTTTCGTGAATTATCGGCCGGCCGGGTCAATATTAATAATATTGCACTCAACTACACTGTCATATTTACGTACAAATCACGTAAGAGTCATAGAATAAGTTATGTATAGATGATATTTAATGAAAAATTATATAAATACACAACTTAAATATTATAATCTCTAAAATTTCTTATCATTTAAAAAATTACAAAAATTCCTTCTTGGATACATCCGTATCCCCTCTCGGATACATCCCTATTCCCTCTCAGATACAATCATTCCCTCTCGGATATATCCCTATTCACTCTTGTATACATCCCTATCCCCTCTCGGATACAGCCCTATCCCCTCTCAGATACATTCCTATCCACTCTCGTATAAATCCCTATCCTCTCTTGGATGCATCCATCCCATAAAGTAATGTATCATTTGTAATGTAATCCGAGAGCAATGAAAAATTCAAAATTTTTGTATTTGGGAAAATTTCTGAAATAAAATGTAATTAACCCCTAAATGCATGTGGTTTCAATAAGTTTCCCAATAATTAATCCTATGAAAACTAGGCCACAAATAAACCAAATCAATTAAGAAGATTAAACATTTATCTTTTAGGTTTTCTTCATCTCAATTTTTGTGACTCTGTTTGAATCGACATAAAATTTAAGATTTTTTTTAAAAAAAGTTTGTGATCTAAAACTCTTGTTGATTAGTCATATGACTATAAGTTATTTCATTAAGGGTGAATAGAAAGTTTAAATTTAAATTATTTTCAGAAGGTGACAATCATTTGATGATGGACTAAAAAATAAATTATGTCACGTAAATTGGAACATGAAAGTAATTGAATATGAGTTGCTTCTTATAACATGTAATTTCTTTTTCTAGTTCGAGTTTCAATTGTTTTATCATTTAATTAAATTATATTGTATTTTCAATATTTCCAGAGGATTGTTTATTTCAATTGAATACAAATTCTATTTATTGAGAGTTTCTGTAGTTTTCATCTATTCTTCCAGCAATTGCCAATTTATTCACTTACTATTAATAACAACACTCTGGAACATAACAACTATCAAATACTTCAAAAATAGGTAACTAAGGATTATATTGGGTGCATTTCCTAATATATGACGATTTCTATTGTTACAAACATACAATTCTTGGGAGATAAAGAAATAAAGCAAACCAAATAGTGAATCATTTTAATCAGATAAAGAGAAACTCGGAGATAAATATTATCCTACTTAAGATAAAATGTCACGGATTTTTCATAAGCCCTTCAATATTATTGTATAGGTGCATTTGATCTATATTGCAGAAGTTTTGAGCTCAAAGTATGAATTTTTTTTGAATCCAGAACTTCTTAAATATTTTGAGAAATTTTTAAAAATAATTTGATTAACTCAGTTATCTTTTTGGTAGGGCGTTCAATCCTAGGGAATGGATTAATATATCATAGATCACTTCTTTCCTAAAAATAGATACGATGTTAATTTGAGGTAATAACCAAAAACATTAAATATATGACATTAAAAACAATAACTTCTAATTTATCCTGTTTATATCAAGAACTAATAAAACCCAAAATATTGTAATTCTTAGTAATGAAAAGTATGTATGGTACAACATTTTTCAGTTAATTTGTCAAAACGGGTTTGCTTAAAGCAGCTTACATCTCATGTATGATTTGCAAGATATTGCAATGAGCGGATTTATTATGTGTACGCCCAAAGAGTAGCAACTATAAATTAATCCGAAAATTTCCAAAAAAAAGAAAAAGAAAAAAAAAAAATTTAAAAGTATGGTGTCATATTGATGTGGAATATAAGTCGTGCTCAACAAGTACATATAACTAATGGGCGCCAAATAATGAACAATATTTGCTAGGCCTACACATATCTCAACTTTTTAAAAAAACTAATTTAATCAAATTTTCAATTAGGGTGTGCATTTGGTTTTTCACTATTCGGTTTGGATTTTTCGGTTTTTGGTTTGTAAAAGTGTAACCCAATCCGATCCAAAATAAATTTGGTTTGGTTTGGTTTTCCTTTATTCGGTTAGGCTTTTTTCGGTATTTTGGTTTTTATTTTTTTAATCCAAAACCAAACCAAAAAAATAGACAAGTAATTTATTAATCCAAAACCAATCCGAAAAACCAAAAAACCAAAAAACCAATCCAAATAAAAATTCGGTTTGATTTGGTTTGGTTATTCGGTTTAATCTGAATAGTGCACACCCCTATTTTCAATATAACAAAAAAGAAAAAAAAAAACGAGAACAACATTTTTGGAAGTTAATAAAAAAATTGGATTAAAATTTTAAAAATAGGTGATTAAAATTGTTCATGGCTTCCCACTATCTCAAAACCTTAGTGGAACAGCATTAACCAAAAAATGGCAAAATCTTTGATATGTTTGGATTATTTAATTTTTAAATCATCATATTACCATCTTAGTTATGCTATATAAACTCCTAATTCCTCCATTCTAAAACACACAAGAAAAAGAAAAACAAACAAATATCTAGACTTAGAATCCAATAATTCTTCTGAATGGGAAGCCAAATGAAGAAGCAATGGCTTCAATTTGCTTGTGCTTTGGCATTTTTCTTGATTGCCACATGCACTATGGCTTATTCACCTTATAATTCTTATGAATCATCAGATTCAACATCTAATAAAGTACCAAACACAGTAGTCAAAAGTGAAGGCTTCAAGGTACCCTCAGAGTCAGAAAAGGAATATAAGTCGTCATTTTGTCAAAAAAAGATTACTACAAGAAGCCATCAGTTTCAGAAGATAACTATAAGAAAGTACCCTTTGTTCCCGAACACGAATCATTCTTGCCAAAGAATGATTACTACAAGAAGCCATTATTTTCAGAAAATAACTACAAGAAAGAGTCATATGTTCCTGAGGTACCCTCAATGGCTAAACCAGAATATAAGGAGTCATTTTTGCCAAAATTTGACTACTTCAAGAAGCCATCATTTTCAGAAGATAACTACAAGAAGGCGTCATATGTTCCAGAGGTACCCTCGATGGCTAAACCAGAATATAAGGAGTCATTTTTTCCAAAATTTGACTACTTCAAGAAGCCATTAGTTCCAGAAGATAACTACAAGAAGGCATCATATGTTCCAGAGGTACCCACAAAGCCTAAACCGGAATACAAGGTACCATCTTTGCCAAAGAATGACTACTATAAGAAGCCATCAGTTCCAGAAGATAATTACAAAAAGGTATCATATGTTCCAAAGGTGCCCTTAGTGCCTAAAGAAGAATACAAGGTACCTTCTTTGCCAAAGAATGATTACTACAAGAAGCCATCAATTCCAGAAGATAACTACAAAAAGGTACCATTTGTTCCAGAGGTGCCCTCATTGACTAAAGAGGAATACAAGGTGCCTTCTTTGCCAAAAAATAACTACTACAAGAAGCCATTAGTTTCAGAAGATAACTACAAAAAGGTGTCATATGTTCTAAAGGTACCCTCAGTGCCTAAAGAAGAATACAAGGTACCTTCTTTACCAAAGAATGATTACTACAAGAAGTCATCAGTTCCAGAAGAAAACTACAAAAAGGTACCATTTGTTCCAAAGGTGCCCTCAGTTCCTAAAGAAGAATACAAGGTGCCTTCTTTGCCAAAAAATGACTACTACAAGAAGCCATCGATTTCAGAAGATAACTACAAAAGGTGTCATATGTTCCAAAGGTGCCCTCAGTGCCTAAAGAAGAATACAAGGTGCCTTCTTTGTCAAAGAGTGACTACTACAAGAAGCCATCACCTTCTCCATCACCACCACCTCCATATTATTAAATTTCCATCTTTCATGTTCAACATGGATGTTTCATTTTAGTCCTTCTCCAGCTCAACATATATAACCCATAGGGTTCTCATATTATGAGTTAGAAGGCATGATATCAAAATTTGTATTTATTTATTTATTTTTCCTTTTCCTACTTCGGTTTGTAATTGTTTTGTCATTTAAATTCTATATTTTGAGCGAGAAATTTATTTCAATTGAATACAAGTTCTTTTTATTGAGAGTTTATGTAGTTTTCATCTATTCTTCCATCAATTACCAATTTGTTCACTTACTATTAATAACAAAACTCTGGAACA